TTACATTAAGGCAATATTGTAACCCATCAAGTTGAATGAATTTATCAGAGACATATATGTTAAACGATTAATTTTTGATGATGAACAAAAGGATAAATCCAACCTTAATACGTAACTAACGAGCAAACTTTAATGAATGAAAGAGGGAGAGCTCTGTGCATCTCTAGTTTTATAGTACCGTCGCAACCATTAGGGCTTTCTACTGTCCGTTAGATTGTTTCAGATCCGGTGACAAAAAATATTACCTTCCTCAACACGCCAAAACATTTACGAAGTATTTGTGAAGAACGGAAAATTATACGATAGTCTCAGAATATCACGTGACTATACTCTCTCACCAATTATCATTCATTATGTTCCGTTATGTTCCTTAATCACTCAATATAAATAATTAATACTCCATCTTCTCCACCAATCATACCATCATAGAGCACCATGTGGTCGTACTCCCAAATTACCGAGTAATCACCCATGAAGAACAAGGATTCTATCCGCTCCAAATTTGGATTCGAAAGTGTTGCTTGGGTTGTGAAATTCAGATTCTGATAATTAATGCTGATAATTCTTATATTTAATTTTTATATTAATTTTATTCTCGTAATTTTAATTGATTTAATTTTGATAATAAATTTATAATTGTGTCTCATTTTAGTCTCATTGATTATAATTGTTTGTATTTTTTTAATAAAAATTCGCACATAATTGATATTGTCATGTTTTTAGAGGCAAAACTATAAAATTGTGCAATCTCAACAAACTTAGTGATTATTTTTTGTCAAAAGTTCTAACAACATTATTAATTGGACCAAATGAACATAAATTTAAAATTAAATCTCAAAACTGGGTCAATTGAAAATGTAAGGGTCAAAATAAATTAAACCGATGTAATTTGCCCCCCCTTTTTTTTTTCAGATTTGAAGAAAATAACTTAGTAAGCTAATTTTGGCATAATCACAATGGACACCTTAGTTCACATATATTTAGTTTCATTTTCATCAGTAATTTATTAGTCATTGTTTGTTATTGTGTTTTCATATTATCTACATTAGTTTTGTCTATTTAACCCTATTAAAAATAAAATCAATATAATTATGTCAAAACTGTAGAACTTGACGTATTTTCTTTAAATCACAACAAAATCACTAATACACCCTTAATTTTTTGATAACTTTATTTTGTAAGTATTATATATGTATATACCTAGTCGCTCTCTCTCTCTCTCTCTCTCTCTCTCTCTCTCTTACCAGATCTAATCCCAACACACCCATCTCAACCTTTGTTATCCTCCTCCGATCTCCCTCATTGCCGATCTCCCTCACCGCCATTGCCGATCTCCCTCCGTTGTCCTCACCGCTGATCTCCCTTACTGCTGTTGCCATTCTGCTGTCCTCCTCCGCAGTGCCTTTGCTAATCTCTTCGCTGCCGCGTTGGTTCTTTCTCTGGTTCTTTGGTTCATCTCATCTTTTTGAAGCCCCTGTGGTTCATCTCTTCGTCACCGCCGCTGTGCCTTTTCCAATGTTTGGTTCATTTTTGGTTTTTTCTCTAGTCAGATCTGTATTTTTTTTCATAGATCTAAGGATTGACTGAAGGTGAATGTATGCATAGTGTTAGATCATCTATGTTTCTTCTCTATTTTTCTCTATTTTCTTCTTGTTGTGTACTGTTTGTGTTGTATATTTGTTCTTCCCTCTGCCTCAAAAAAAAATGTCAAGGATTTTTCGGGGTCGGAGAAACCCGATCCCCATTGGGGGACGGGGACGGGGAGTATTTACATTCGGGGATCGGGGATGGGGAGTGTAATCCCCGGCCCCGGCCCGCCCCGTTGCCATTCCTACTGCTAGGACATGATCTGAATATTGTAAACTCTCATTGTTATACCTTCATGAGTGATAAACAAAAGGGTTTGATTGATGCAATGGCTGAGTTGTTCCCAAATGCTTTACACAGGTTTTGTGTGAGGCATTTGTACAACAATTTTAAGGGTGAACACAAGGGGTTGGTTCTAAAAGATCTGTTGTGGAAGGCTACAAGGGCAACAACTGTTCCTGCATTTACCAGAGTGATGACAGAGATTAAAAAAGTTGATTGTAAGGCATATGATTGGTTAGTTGACAGACCACCAATTTATTGGAGTAGGAGCCACTTCAACACTTTTCCAAAATGTGACTTTTTGCTAAACAATCTATGTGAGTGCTTCAATGCAAGCATCTTGGAAACTAGGAGTAAACCTGTGGTTACAATGTTAGAGAAAATTAGGTTGTTGTTGATGGAAACAGTTCAAAAAAGAAGAGATGTAATGCAAAGACACAATGGTCCTATATGTCCTAAGATTCAAAATCATTTGGAGAAAATAAAAGTGGATGCAGGTGGATAGATTCCTATATGGAATGGCAATGAGCAATTTGAGGTTGTAGGGCCATATGGTGAGCAATACAAGCTGGATTTGCAAGCTTGGACTTGTGGCTACAGGAAGTGGGATCTATCAGGCATTCCATGTGCCCATGTTGTGGTTGCTGCAAATTTCTTGGGTCAAGAACCAAAAAAATATGTTCATCAGTTCTACAAGGTGGAGACTTATCTGAAGATGTATGACAATATGTTGACTCCTATTAATGGTAAAGAAATGTAGCCAAGAACTGAGTATGCAAAGGTGCTGCCACCTGATGTGAAAAATAGAGCTAGGAGGCCTAAACAAAATAAAAGAAAGGAGACTGAGGCACCAATTCAAGGCACAAAGCTAGAAAGGCAGGGCACTAAAATGACTTATAATAATTGTGGGAAGGTGGGACACAATAGGAGAAGTTACAAGGTCAAGGGCAGATTAGGTTACATGCAAGAAAGCCAACCTCAGGGGAGCCAAATTGAACCAAGCCAACCTCAGGGAAGCCAAACTAAACCAAGCCAACCTCAAAGAAGCCAAACTAAACCAAGCCAACCTCAGAGCCAATTAAGTGTAGAAGCACCTAAGGTCAAGAGACGTATGAGACAAAAGAAATTGGCTGTCAGTGTTCTTTTTCTTTTCTTTTTTTAAATAGTAACTTAACTGTCCTATATTTGATTGTGTTTAATTGTGGATAATTCAATCTTATTGCAGGTTAAAAGGAGAGTGGTACAAGGAAGTCAGTCAACTTCATCTCCAATAAGTTCAAATAGCACACCAAAGGATCAAATGGTGTGGAGAGGCAAGCCAGTGTACAATGCTAGTGGCATTAAATCAGTATCCACTGGACAAAAAGATGGAGCACCTAGAGCATTCACTTGAATTTTTTTTTTTTATAGAAGAAGGAAGCATCTACATGATTTTCTCATTGGGGCTTTTTGTATATATAATGATTTTTTGTTTGGAATGGTTGCCCTGAACTTGTTAACTATGTAAAGGTAGTATTTTGGTTGTCACAAACAATTGTATGTTTTGAAAACTTGAATGACAAATTTATGACTGTTGCTTTTGTGCGTGATGCTCTATTTTAATGGATGGTACTCCTCATTTCTATGTAAATGTAGCTTGTGTTGGTTTTGGTTGCCATTATGATTCCAATTGTGTGTTTTGAATGAATGCCACTGATAAGTTTTTTATTCATTAAATGAATGTCATTTGATGGATGGATGCCAGTGACAGGTTTCATTGGTTGCCATTTGATGGATGGATGCCAGTGACAGGTTTCATTGGTTGCCATTTGATGGATGGATGCCAGTAATAGGTATTTTATTCATTGGTTGCCAAGGGGCTATTCAAATAGGCCACCAATTAGTTATTTTGATAAATGGATGACAAATAGTTAAAGTAACACACAATGCCACTTTCGTTTTTTTTTTTTTTTTTTATAATTAGATAATGCCCCATTTTTGTAAGGATGAACACAAATTGTTTTTTAAGGGACAAACAAAGGCTGTGATGCTCTGTTTTTTTTTCAGAGTAAAACCTTAACACAAAATTTGAAATTTTCATCCAAAATACTTTCCTCATTACATTTCATTCATAATATTTCCCTTATTACATTTCATTTATAATATTTCCCCTCATTACATTTATTCATTTATAATAGTCCCCCCTATTACATTCTTTCTTACACTACATTACAAATCACATTGATAAAACGATGCACCATGAGGCAGCCAAGCATATCCATAGCTTTCTCTCTCTTCTATTCCTTGTCTGCAATATTGCTTCTAGCTTATTAACCTTCTTCAACAGCCCATGGATGATTTGCACTACCCGTGAGCACATAGGTGGGTCTATCCAGGTGTACTGATTACAATCATTCGTGAGACAACTGAGGAACCTTTTACCAGGATTTGCATCAGTCCATGATGTTTGTATCACCTTTCGTCTTCCACAGCAAATACATCTTAGGTCTTCCATGTCACTTGCATTCCATCTTCCTTCAGTTGAGCCCGATCTTCCCAGAATTCTTGACCTTATATTCCTCATTATCTCTCACCACCAAACAGATGCTCTATATTTTTTGGTTGAGAGCTTGCCTGTGTTATATAGTAGAATAGAGAGGTTGCAAATAGCAGGAAATCCACTTATATTCCCTTCAAAAGATAGTTCAAGAGGACAACTCATCACATTCCGTTTAATTGTGGATGAAAGGTAACGGGAGAAGTCTAATTGATCAATTTATAAATAAATTCAAGTATTAAATTGAAATAAATAAAAGCATAGGAGTGCGTGTGAAAAACAAGTGATAGTTTAGGTGAGAAGATAATGGCTTCGTTTGGGAAGTTACTATTTTAGTAGGCTATTTTAGTTTTTGGCTATTTTAGTAGGCTAAAATTTTTGTGTTTGGGAAGATGATTGGATTTTTTTATGGTTGGATGTGATGTTTGTAACAGAAAAAGTGAAATGATTATGGGTTTGATGTGATATTTTATCTTATTAACTATTTTAGCCTATTTTATTTTTTTGTGAATTTTAACCTAAATTAGACTATTTTTTTTCTTCCCAAACACCCCCAATTACTCAATTTAAAAATGAAAGTGCCCTAATTAAAAACATGCTTACAACTCACGAGGCGGAGGTTATATATAAATAGAAGAAATCGGAACAGAGTTTAAGGTCGTTCGCAGCACTTCAAAGCGAAGGGTAGTCGTCGCCATGATCTCTCAGTTCTTTGTGCTGTCTCAGAGAGGCGATAACATCGTCTTCCGCGACTGTGAGTCCTCTCTCTCTCTCTCTGTACATACATATATACATCTGTATATATACATGCATACTCGCAATTTTGCTTTTACCGATCTCATCAGGAAATAGGGTTGTGCTTCTAATTCCACTTGCTTTTCATTACTTGATCATCATTTAATGAAAACTGTACTGTTTTAGGATAAAATTTTGCAGTATCTGCAGGAATCAATCTGAAAATCCAAATATTTTTTTTTCACAATTTTACTGAATCTTGTGTTTCTCGCCTAAATTGGTGAGATTTGGTGTGAAAGGAAGTCTTTGTGTATAAAATTTTTGTATTATACCTAAATGGGCACTTTGTAGCCTGCACTTTACATCCATGCCCATTATACTCTTGGTATTTTAATTGTCCCACTTAAAATCCTCTTTTTTGCTAAAATTCCATTTTAGTACATTCACATTGGTACTTAGCCTCATGTATTTTAGTGAAATCTCACTTTAGTCCCTTGGTATTTGAAAGTGACTAGGTTCAATTGCAATTTGACTCAAGTCTAGGGGTTGACTGGGCAAAGTGAAATTTGGTGACTTTAGTCCTCCCTTCGTATTTGAATGACGTTATACGATTAGGGCCAATTGTAACTTGACTCAAGTCTAGGGGTTAACCCGGCAAAGTGGAATTGGGTGTGAAGTATGGGGTGCTAAGTGGAATTGGGTGTAAAGTGTGGGGTGCAAAGTGAAATTTGCCCTACCTAAATTGCTTATTTAAATACCAAGCAAATAATATAAGAAGTCACGTCCATTTTGTTCTATTTCTTGTTCATCCAAAGAAAACGGTGAGAGGCAACAAATGTGTTTTTTTCTTTTCTCACTTAGGTGGGTAAACTTAATCTTCTCATTTGCCAAACGGAGAAAACCAATCACAAGTCTGCAGGGTGACACAATTAGGCTAGCCGTTTTGGGGCTACCCTAGTTAAATATGAAGTTCACAAATCGTAAGAATTACAATTCAACGTAATTGAACTGTAGGTTTAGTAATGTTTTTGTTAGTATCAGTAGGTGAAGACACTGTTTAACCTTAAGTTTTTGCTTGCTCTGATTTGGGTTATTTGGTGTACACTACTTGGGAATTTTGTTTGTTAGACATAACGTAATATTTTGTAATCCTGCTTTATTTTACTTATTTGTTTGTTTGTTTTTATTGCCAATGTCTACATTAAGGCTGAACCCAATTTCCTGTAACCATTTGAATGTTCTTTTTTTTCTCCCTCCTCTGAAGACCTTTCAAAACTACTGACTGCAGAGATAATGGCCCTGGACTGCCTGGTCTTGTGGAGGAGTTAATCCACAGTTTTGGGTTGATTTAATATACATCAATTAAAAAACAAATAATGGTTATGTGCACAATATTTATAAATTTATGATGTACAGAAACTAACAAACTATGCAATGCGAGGTAATTAGCTGATTTTGGTATTTGAATTCATTGTTGTGTTGTGCCTATGTACTTTTGTGTTGATTTCCTAGCATTCATTTGTTCTATTAATCTACTTCAAATGGACACCCTCCCTGTGTCATTTTTTTGTGTAACTGTTGTTGGGCCTACATTCAAGAAGTATTTACTTAATTTTTCCGGGGTTCTTAACTAAGCAATTGGACTTGTTTAGAAGTTTGAGGATGACTCAGTTTGACTGCTAAGTGAAACTGTTTCTTCGGAACCCTCCCTTATTGTTTACTATGGAGACTTTTATTGGTTATATAATTGTACTGATGCAGATCGTGGTGATGTACAAAAAGGAAGTGCGGAGATATTTTTCCGTAAAGTGAAATTTTGGAAAGAAGATGGTGAAGAAGAGGCACCACCTGTCTTTGTAGGTATTTTTTCTTTTTAAATATTAATGGCTGCCAAATATATACATATATATATATATAGTGTCCTGTTGAAACAATCTCTCTTAATGACTTGTACATCGGTTCTCTATCTGTTCTGTAACCTTGTTGCTCTTTTGAGACTTATAAGGCATATAATTTGAAAAGAAAGATTCATCCATCTAACTTGTAGCATCTTTAAGACTTTAACTGACCTACTTGTTGATCCCTTCTTGGCTTACTACATAGTTTGTTTTAATTATTACTGTCAAACTTGAAATCTTAAAGTTCACACCATATGGACCCCACAGTTGGGATAATTACAATCTGCTGCAATGGCCCCCTTGTCTCGTTGTTCTAGCTTTTTCATTCATTGCCATGCATTATTGTCTCTGGTGTCGCAAGTCATGAAAACAATTGCTCAAAAAGTGGGGTCGGTTGTGTACATCTTGCCTTTGCCCTTCTAAAACCCCACTTTAGCGGGAGTTTCACGCACTGGGTCACTTTTTTTTTTTGCCACGAATTTATGTCCTAATATCGGCTAATTCAATGCATACTACTGACATTAGCACATGTTTCTTCCTTGTCTTCAATAGAATGTGGATGGTGTGAACTACTTCCATGTGAAGGTTGTGGGATTGCTGTTTGTTGCAACCACGAGAGCCAATGTGTCACCTTCCCTTGTGTTGGAGCTTTTACAAAGGATTGCACGTGTCATCAAAGATTATCTTGGAGTTCTCAATGAAGATTCATTTCGAAAAAATTTTGTGCTTGTGTATGAGTTGCTAGATGAAGTTATTGTAAGTACTCTGTCACGTTGTGTATCTGTGTTGTTTGTTTTGTTTTCTGAGCATCATAAATGGGGAAGGTAGATGCCCTTCACTATGCTACTTGTCATGCCTTTTTTTTATGAAAGATAATTCAATCACTTTGTTCCTGCCATCGAATTCAAGTAAGCTTTATAGTTCATTAAAATGTGTTTAGGATTCATTATTCTATTTGATGGATTTTCTTTTAACATCTGGTTTCTACAAAAATTAATCGCATGAGCACTTGGTTAGCTTTAGAACTTTTTCATTTAATCAAAACTTCACCAGATACAAATCAACTGCAACATTTATGAAATGCTTAGATTTATTTTTGCTTAAGAAGAGTTGCTTGTGTAAAGACCAGAAAATGAACAAGTTTAGTAACTTGGTCATGGCATCTAGCAATCTACTTATTGTTGAATAGATAGTACCACAAAATCTGAGTGAGTTTTTTATTTTTTTATTCTTTTTATTTTTTTTTTTTAAATCTGGAAGCTCGTGAGTTTAAATATGACTTGATACTCTTCTCTTTGTGCCAGGATTTTGGTTATGTGCAATCAACATCTACTGAAGTCTTGAAGTCCTATGTATTTAATGAGCCAATTGTGGTTGAAGCTGCACGCTTACCAACCCTTGGCCCTGCTGGCATCTTTATGGTATTGTGTTTGCCTAATCACATAATCAAATAAATAGACTCAGGTCGCATTGTATTCTAATTTTTTCCTTATGTTATGGTTGACTTTACAACTTGAACGCATGCAGCAAGGGACCAAAAGAATGCCCGGAACAGCTGTCACGAAATCTGTCGTAGCAAATGAACCAGGGGGTAGAAAAAGGGAGGAAATTTTTGTGGATATAATTGAGAAAATAAGTGTTACGTTCAGCTCCAGTGTAAGTATCTATGTCTTTCATTTAATCAATTTTGGTGATATTATTTTATCCAAGTGCTGCAATAATTGTGGTATTGTGTCAAGAGAAGACAGTCAGGAATTCTGTGAAAATAATGAGAATGGGGTGAAACAGGTCAAATCATTTTGTGAATGGGACAAAAGATGACAATTAGCAGTTTGTTGTTCTGTGTGTTATGCCCTTTGATCAAGGAAGCTCTTGGAACTGTGGTGGTTGTGTCCTGTAGAGAGACATTGATACTTGATCACTAGTTAAAATAATGCATACGAAAATCAACATTATTTATTTCAATTCAAACATGATGGATTCACATGTACATCACTTTCCTCTGTCAATATATGGAATTGTAAACCGTACCTTCTATTAGGGTGACTGTTATCGTTCTACATATGGGTATAGGTGGTGGGGTATACTTCTTTTTTGTTGGCAGTGTTCTACTGTAATTTTGTTACTTAACTACTCAAAAAGGAATTAAAAAGAAGAAGAAGAAGAAGCTGTGGTACCCTTAGTGAGCAAAACCTTGATGGGCTATATTAGTAGTAGGATTTATTAACCACTTTCTGAATTTGTTCTTGTGTATCCACCATTGTTTTGGTTGGTGTTGTTATTTTGTCTCCATTTTCCTGAGTTTAGCAGATTCCTTGGTTTTACAGACTTGTCTTAACTATTTGGCTTCAGCACAATTTCTAGCTGCACCTTTAGATATGACCCGAGAAAGACCTGGGTGATGTAGGACGAGTAGGGATTACTTTCCTACAAGTAGTGAGCCCGGTTTAAGTATACTAGCAGTAGCAACAATAGACTTATAGAGCTGGATTTGGTGGGATTTTGTAACTGCAGAAATATTTAAAGGAATAAGAGTTTAAGGGTTTGTAAAAGAGTAGGGTTTTGAGAATGAAAACACAAGTGTTCAGGGGCAGTTGGATGGTTGTTCTAAGCCCTGTGAACAGTGACGTGAACAGTAACCTTGCTGGATAAAAGAAGAAGAAGAAGAGAGAAAGAAAGAGAAGTGCTTCACCCTCACAAGGGATAGGCCAATCACACAAACACAATCTCAAATTTTCATAATATTAACTCTGCTCTTGAATTATTGAGATTACACATATATTTATAGGCTAAAGACTTTCCTAATTCTATAAGGACTATTTCTCAAATTTAGAAACTAAAAAATATTTAGCAAACTTGGACTTCAAATTCCAGATCAACTATGACTTTAAATTCTATTTCAATTATAATAGGAAACTTTAATGACTTCTAATTCTACTTCAATATCAAAATAGGAAACTTCAATTTTTGACCACTAAGATTATTTTAGACATAATAAAACTCATATATAATAACCCATTTAATAACTTGACCCAAAATAAAATCCATGGGTGACCCCTACAACCCATGTCCAACAATTATTGGAATTACTATTATACCCATAATTACTAAAACTTACTATAATGGCATGAAGACTCAAAATTATAATCCAAATCTTTAATTCTTGATGTGTTAAATGTGCTTCATGTGAAATTTTAGATTTGTTCTTTTTCTTATTTCCATGATCTTTATCATTCTCCCCTCCATTCGAAAAAACTTGACCTCGAGTTTTATAATGTTGAAGTATAAGGATTATAGAATCTTGCACTTGCAACTATTTAACTTGATTGTTTAGAACGAACGATGAGAAAATCAAAAAGTTCAATGTTGTCATCACTCCATTTACCACATTGAATTTGTCAGGAATAATAAACTCAATGTGAATTTCATTTTTCTTGTGAAGAGTAGAAAGTTCAGTTGCATTCTCATCATTCTCTTTGGCTTCCTTGGCTTTAAAACATTAATCATGATGATCTTTCATGCTTTCTTTAGTAAGCAAATTAATTTTCGCCTTCCTTTCTTCAATATCCTCAATATTAGTAGCATTGTTCATCTTGTTCTTTCATACCTTCTTCAAAATCTTTAACACTATTATCCTCTTGCTCTTGGATATTAGTCTTCTCTAAAACAGCAGCCAATAACTTCTCCATGGAAGTTTTCAATCCATTTAAAGTTGTTTTGATAGTATGCACATCACTCTTTATTGTTGCAACATCCTCCTTAATTATCGCAAAATCCTCTTTTAACATCGCAACATCTTCCTTGGTAGCCTCATAATCTTTTGAGGAGACTTCGAACTTGGAATTCAATTCAGCGTTTGTCACCATCGTACTCAATAAAACATCTTTGTCAAAAAAAACCAAAAACAATGGAGACTAAAAGTAGGATCTTGAGGCTCTGATACCATAGCTGATGTAGGACGAGTAGGGATTACTTTCCTACAAGTAGTGAGTTCCGTTTAAGTATACTAGCAGTAGCGACAATAGACTTGTAGGGCTGGATTTGATGGGATTTTGTGACTGTAGAAATATTTAAAAGAAAAGGAGTTAAAGGGTTTGTAAAAGGGTAGGCTTTTGAGAATGAAAACACAAGTGTTTAGGGACAGTTGGATGGTTGTTCTAAGCACTGTGAACAGTAACCTTGCTGGATAGAAGAAGAAGAAAAAGAAGAAGAAGAAGAAGAAGAGAGAAATAAAGAGAAGTGCTTCACCCTCACAAGGGATAGGCTAATCACACAAACACAATCTCAAATTTTTATAATATTAACTCTGCTCTTGAATCATTGAGATTACACATATATTTATAGGCTAAAGACTTTCCTAATTCCATAAGGACTATTTCTCAAATTTAAAAACTAAAAAATATTTAGCAAACTTGGACTTCAAATTCTAGACCAACTATGACTTCAAATTCTACTTCAATCATAATAGGAAACTTTAATGACTTCTAATTCTACTTCAATATCAAAATAGGAAATTTCGACTTTTGACCATTAAGATTATTTTAGACATAATAAAACTCATATATAATAATCCATTTAATAACTTGACCCAAAATAAAACCCATGGGTAACCCCTACAACCCATGTCCAACAATTATTGGAATTATCATTATACCCATAATTACTAAAACCTACTATAATGACATGAAGACTCAAAATTATAATCCAAATCTTTAATTCTTGATGCCTTAAATGTGTTTTATGTGAAATTCCTGATTTGCTCTTTTTCTTCTTTCCATAATCTTTATCACTAGGGTATATATAGACCTATTTTTTATGCTGTTTGTGTCTCTGCAGTCTTTTTTTTTTTTTGGATGACCTGCTCCCTGCAATGAGAGAAGAATGCATTGGGTGAACAGCCGACAAAAATGTTGCAAAATTATTTTTGAGTCAAAATAACAACCACCATATTTTATGGGCAAATAATATTTTTTGCTTTCTTAAGCAGCAATGATTTTATACCGATAAGTTATTTTAAAATGTAGATTTTGTCTTGGATATATTCAAAACTGGATTATAATGTTTGATTCTGTTGTCAATCTTTTTCCTCAGTTTATAATCATTAAAATGTTATTGGTTGAACAGGGATATATACTGACTTCTGAGATTGATGGCACTATTCAAATGAAGAGTTATCTTAGTGGCAATCCTGAAATCCGGTTAGCTCTCAATGAGGATCTGAGCATAGGAAGAGGCGGGAGATCAATCTATGGTATTGACATGTTTTACTTCCCTTTAAAATATGACTTATTGTTTTTTAATGCTTTTATGTCATCATTCCAGAGGTGGAAAAGCATGGACTAGCATAGAAGTTCAAATATAAGAAGCCCTTTTAGTGTAGTCTTATATATATATATATATATTTGTCTTTTTTAAATTTAATTGAACGGTTAATTTTGTTTGGATATTATTGTGTTTGTCTTTATTTTTCTTTTCAACCTTAGTGCAGTTAGGGGTGACCATTGGTTCAATGGTAAAACCTTGGCTTAATAACCTTGAGATTATGGGTTCAAGTCTTGGGACAACCACTTTGTGCACTATACGAAAGGTTAAGTGCGTACGCAATCTTTTTCCTCCCAAACACACATTAATGTGTACTAATTGGGCGTTATTTTTTAACCTTAGTACAATTATGCATTTTAAGTTTGTTGTAGGATTATATATTTCCTTTTTATTCTTTTATCATTTCTGCATTTATGGTGTAGTGGGTTGTGATTGGAAATTATGATGTTATCCTGTTACAAATAAGTTCTTTGTAGTGTTTGTCAATCTTTTGTATATGTTCTTCATCACCTTAATAAATATTTACTTTCTGGACAGACTATAGTGGTTCCTCTGGGTCTGGAGCTGTGATTCTAGATGATTGCAACTTCCATGAATCTGTACATCTTGATAGTTTTGATATTGACAGGACTCTCAGTTTGGTGAGTAATTATAAGACAATGTAACCTTGAAAGATGAATTTCAGAGTGTGCCTATTTAAACTCTCTATGGTTAAAACGGATGCCTCATCTTGCCAAAATTTTCAGGTGCCACCAGATGGTGAATTTCCTGTCATGAATTACCGTATGACTCAGGAATTCAAGCCTCCTTTTCGTATTAACACTTTGATTGAAGAAGCTGGGGCACTTAAGGTAAATGTTAACTTTCTCGTGTAGTTAATTAAATGAAAAGGTTGTACTTGCAGCAGTGATCTGGAAATGCCAGTTATTCAGATAATTTCTGTTAGGAATGCCAATTCTCAAAATTTCTCGTCTAGTCTTAATCTTCTTTTGCCCGTACTGTTTAAGGCTGAAGTGATTCTGAAAATACGTGCTGAATTTCCTTCAAGCATCAATGCAAACAGCATTCAAGTGCAGATGCCACTGCCAAAGTATACCGCTAGGTATTGTTCACTACGGTTAATTTCGGTTTGGAAGGTTATATATAAAATTAATTTTTTTTGTTTTGGGGTCTAGTACCTAGATTTTGATTGTCAGCAATATTTGTGATATTATTTGATACTTTTTAATGAATTGATGATGTTTTCACCAAGAAAGCATACGTCTGGCACAGTTCAGAGAATAAGTAAGCGCGGCATGCTTTTGGAGATGGGAATAGGAATTATATTTGATGCACCTGGTATTAAATTGTATTGAATACATAAAAAGGAATGGCCAATGCACAATATGTCTGAAGATCATTGGCATCTCTTTTACTGTTAAGATAATCAGATGGGGAAGCAGCATGTCTTTATTTTTTAATTTAAAATCCATAAGGGCATCTTGCCCCAACAATAAGGCTTGTCGTTAGCGCCCCTGGCGGCGCATGTTCGAGTTTTGGAAACAGCCTTTCTAGAAATGGGAGTTAGGTTGTGTACATCTCTTGCCTTTCCCAGACCCCATTTTAATTTTATTGGGAGCATCTTGCACTGGGTCATCATTTAAAAAAAAAAAAAAAAATTTAAATCCATATTGAAACAAATTTTTGAATTTCTGGTTCTGTGTGAGAAATTCAGTTAACAACTTCACCAATAATCTCACTGAGAGTTCTTCAGATTTTATTAGTTTTTGTGTTTTCAAAAAATTGTTGACTGAAACATAATAAATAAGCAATGAGAATTGTCAGAATTAATGCTAGCAGACCAGTCTATTTTTGCAGCAGCTTCATTTTTATCTTAGTATTGATGTTTGTTCATGCTCCGCTTCGTTTTTCAGAGTTAGTTTTGAGTTGGAACCTGGTGCAGTTGGTCAAGTGACTGATTTCAAGGAGTCAAATAAGAGACTTGAATGGGCTCTTAAAAAGGCAATGGTTCTTCTTAATGCTCTCATGCTTTTGCATCCTAAATTCAGTGTGAATTCAATTTATACAAAAAGATCTGGTATTCAAGCAGTAGCAATTATTTTTATGGTTTAAAGAAATTACTGAATGGTGCAATGCACACCAGGTTGTTGGCGGATCTGAACATACACTGCATGCAAAGCTGACATTTTCACAGGAATCACATGGTATGATTTTATTCTTATCAAGCATCTTGAAAAATTAATTTTCACCGAGAGCTTTCAGCGAGTTTATTTATCTGTTCTAGTGATAGATTTAACCTAATATTTTGCTACTGTAATTGTTCAAATAGGAAACATCACAAAGGAAGCTGGACCTGTCAGCATGACCTTTACAATACCAATGTATAATGCCTCAAGGCTTCAGGTAAGATTCTTCCTTATTTTTCTGATTACAATTTAGTCATTTTATCATGAATTGACAATTTAGGTCACTATACTATGAAGCACGGGTACTCCAAAAATAGTGCCGTACGAGTACCGGGTACTTACCGGGTGCGGGTACGCGTACCGGTATGGCGGTACGCGTACGCGTACCGGGTACGGCAAAAGAGGGTCCGGTACGTTTGGCTTATTCGGGTACGGCACGGGTACGCCATGGGTACGGCGTGGGTACGCCAAGGCCAATTTTTTTTTTTTTTTTTTTTTTTTTCTGCCCTTGCAAATTAGCAATTATTATTATTATTTTTTATTTTTTTTTGGTGACCTTGCAGATCAGTAATTTTGATGTTTCTCTGTTGTCCTATTTGTCTGTATAAATTGTAGAAGCATATCAACAAATGATTTTAATGTTTTTAAAAAGCAATTTGAACAAAAAAAAATAACAAGGCCTATAAAGGGTAGTTCTGTGTATGACTATGCATTATGCTTTTGCTTTAGATCCTCCTAGAATTTCTTTATAAAATCTTTAATCATAACAAACTTTTAAAGTTTATGCACAAAACATTAAAAATTGATACTGTATTAGTTGATTAGTAGTCGTTGGGAATGATGCAATTTTATGTATTATGCAAATTGCAATTGACAACCTGCCCAATTGAGAATTTTTTTCCTTTATTGTTGGTAATTAACTTTAAATCTTTCTTTGGTCTCCTGTTATTTCTTTGGTCTCACCCTATAAAAATAGCAAATTGATGAGCAAAAAGAAAGATTTTAAAAATAAATTATGATCACAAATTCACAGTGCATAACATATCAAAGTGAGAGATTTCACAAATATTATTTTAACGCTTAATGGTTTTAAATTATAGGAAAATGAGTAGTTCTTTTTTTAGTTTTGATATTTAATTTTAATTTGTAGGTTGGATCCTTTAATCAAAATTATATTTTAAAAAAAATAAAAAAATATCGGCGTACCGTAGCCGTACCCGTATCGTACTTTTTTTGAGTTTTGCCGAATCGGCGTACCCGCACTCGTACCCGTACCGTACTCGTACCCGCACCCGTGCTTCCTTGTCACTATATATGTGTACATATAATGTATAACTAATTGTTGCTTATCAAAAATAAATATTAACCAATAAAACTGTTTTTTTGTTTTTCTCTTTCATTGTATTCTTTGCATCATCTTGATGCTTGTTCTTTAAAAAAACTGTTTCTTATTTATCAATAAATAAATAAATATTAATCAGTAGTGAACTCTGGCTGGATTGTTTCTTTTATTGACTTTGATTGCCTAGTTCTTGCTGTTGTCCTTTGATGCAGGTGAAGTACTTGCAGATAGCCAAGAAATCGAAAACATACAATCCATATCGATGGGTAAGATATGTTACCCAGGCCAATTCTTATGTTGCTCGCATATGACATAGGGAAGACACTCGTCTCTTTTGTTTCCATTTTGTCTTCTTCCTTTCGTTCTGTTTTCTTTTTCTTGACTTGGTTATGTTGTTATGTTATCAATTTGATTATATAAATTATTGTAACATCATGCATATATTCACATACACATGCTGTTAAGAATCATTCACTAAAAGACCAGGGAACATCTATCTTATCTTCTCTCATTTAACGAATTTTGAGCCTATCAGAAATTTTTTAGTTGCTGGTGATGATTTTCTTATTGTTATCTATATCTCTAAACAACCAGTGATTGGAAATGGGTATAGAATCAGCGGGTATTAATTGCATAACACGAAGTATGTGAAATTCTCTTGACTTTTTGTCAAGACTGCACCTCATATTGTCAACCCTAGTTCTTATACACCAACCTATTTGATAATTTTGGAAGTGCGCTAAAAAGTTCAACTAACAGTACCAAATGCTTCCTAATAACCATGCGTTTTAGTCACCCTACTAGTCCTATCCCTTGTATAAGAACTTCCCTAGAAAACCTTCGCACGTAATGCATTCTCAATTAGAAATTTTCAGACCTTTGGCCATAATTGCATCTTCTAATCAAATGGGCTAGTTATCAACACACTGCCTTAGTTCTCCCTTCCTCACTTACTCACCCACTAGTCATTGAGTTTCCGGACCAAGCATCCTATCATCTTCAAGTCCTTCCAGCACATATGGGATTTGGTGGTACTGTTCTTGAGTAGGCCTAAAATTGATAGTGTTGTTCCTCACAGTTGATTAGCCTATTGATTAGTACGGATGGTTGGTCTATATTTGTTTGTTTTTGTTTTTGTCTTTGTCTTTCTAGTAGAGCATGTCTTCTTGTGGTGTTTGCTTTCAAAGTTTCGTCTAAGATTGGTTATGTTTGGATTGTATATATTATCTTCTTATGTTAGTTTGTGTTGTATTTGTTAGTTTGTGTTGTATTTGTTTCTTCTACTATCCTTGCAGAAATTATGAAACAAGAAAACAAAACAAAAAGAAAGAGTTTAGAACAGGTAATGTGAATTGTGAAAGCCTTCTGGGTTTTAGTAAAGAGAAAATTGTTGAAAAGTTCAATTTAGCAATTGTTAAAGCATTAGGTCCAATGGATATTTTTTGGTTGGTGAGAGATTTTTCTTGTGTGTAATAGTTTGGCGAGTAGTCTATTCGTTGTTTTGAAGGACATTTTATTTCCATTTTTATACCTTATCTATCTGTTGAATTTTTTAACTATTTATTTAAATTTTTTGACTATCTGCTTAAATATTTTTTTATTTGTTTAATTTTTTGACTATTTGTTCAATTTTATCCTTTATATGTCCAAATATCTATCTAAATTTTATTTTTTGTTTAATTTTTTTAACTATCTATTTCCATATTTTTATTTGTTTATTTTTCTATACAAAATGTTCATATTTGTCCAAATTTTATTTGTTCAATTCCATGATATGTTTAAATTTTTTTTTCCAGATCTCTTTTCTGTTGAAATTATTCCTCACCAAAACAACAACAATTATATATATGATCAATCTACACAAAGACCAAAAAAAAAAAAAGAGCATTTACTTACAAGTCTCATAAACAACAACAATTATATATATGATCAATCTACACAAAGACCAAAAAAAAAAAAAGAGCATTTACTTACAAGTCTCATTTTGTGAACTTATAATTTATTAGGCCTTAGATAAAATTATTTGTTCCTTCAAGTCCCATTAATTTTTAATAAATCAATTTTTCTATCCAAACCCCCTTCCTTTTCTATCAAATTCATCAGCGATTTCTCCAAGGAAAGCTCAATTTACAGGTAACACATCCAAACCTCACTTCAATCAATCTTCTCTCTCTCTCACTAGTTTTTTTCTCTCTCTAAAGCATTCAACAATCTTTTTTAAAGGAAAAATGCAAAATTGTATTGATTCGTTGGATTGTAATCAATACGCGTTTGGTTATGTTCTGCTTGTTGATTTCGTTTGCGCCTGTATCGTTAGGGAAGGTATTTTCTTACACCAGATGTTTGCCGACCACTACGCGGAAATAATTAAGCAAAGGGGCTAGGGAAGAATTCCATGAACAACAATGATTCATCCCACTAAAAACATCACCACTAATAGCACTAATGCATTAAAAAAGTAAAAAAAAAAAAAAAAAGCACAACTCCAAGACCAAAATATCACATCATTAATGGCGGGATCCATTGCCACCTAATTAGTGGGAGCACTAATTAGTGCTCCCAAGCATTTTTCTTCCATGAAAATGAAAAATATAGCAGTAAGCTAAGAAAGAAAGCTATAGAAAGGAAAGGGTCATCTCAGATAAGAAAGATCAGTGGTGCTATCTTACTATATATAATATTCTATATGCATGAGTCAGATCTATTACGGGGATTCGAAATGAGAAAAAGAAAGACTCGTGAGAAAGCACACGGTTTCGAAGGGGACAGGCTCGAGGAAGTCAGTTTGAAAGATAGAACAATAAGGCGATCTGTTTATGGGTGTGATCTAGAATTTTTTAAAATTGAGAATCTTTTCAATTTATAATATTCTTAATTTTAATTATGAAAAAAATTGAGAAAGTTTTCAAAATTAATAATTATAAATTTTCTAATTTTGATAATATTTTCAGTTCATACTAGAAAAAAATTGAGAAATATTTTAGTTTTGATAATTATAATTTGAGAACATTCTTAATTTTGAAAACAAAGGGCAAAACGTCTTTTTACGTCTAAATGGGATTTATTGGTTCAAAATTTTTTTTGATAGGACTTGAGCTACCACCAAATATGTAAATAGAATAGTAGATATTACATTAACCATCTCATATAATATAATAAATTAAAATAAAATTAATTTTAATTCCCATTACATTCCGTTAGTGGTTAAATTTTTTTTACATGCTTTGTTTTTTTGGTTATATTGATTCATTAAACACAAATGGTTTGGAATGATTTAAAAGAAAAAAAAAAGTTTGGAAATGCATTAAACTTGAATTGACAAACATAAAGAATATAAATATTTAAATTATTCAAAAAAAATTAACATTTTAAATATGAGATATTTTCCATTTGCTCAAACTCTGAATCTAAATAAAAATAAAAAATAAATGAAAAAATTTGTGGTTTAGTTCTCAAAAGAAATGAGTTTCTAAAAATAAATTTGATCATAAGTTATTTTAACAGGATAATCAATAATAAAAAATCAACTGATGAATACATTTAAAGTATAAACCCATATCCAATAAATTTTGATGTATTCTTCATTTTCAATCTAACATCTGCACCCAAAAAAATTAAACACAAATAATCAATAAGTGAGAGAGTTACAAATTGATAGTAGTAGCACTTTTATAAAATATATAAAAAAAAAAATCTCAATTAAATGACACATTATTAACAAAAAGAAAGAAATAAGAAAAAAAAATTTAAAAATAAAATAACAATATCCATTTACATAAAGTCACTGTCTCACAAATACAAAAACTCATGCAAGTACGCAATTCAAATGTAAAGCAAATATTTAAGATTTTTAGGCATCGAAATGAATCAGAAATGGCTCAATGTTGATTGTTTTCCTCCCAATCTTCTGCTCATGGTTTCTTTCGCATGAACTTATTTTTATATTGAAAAGATTATGTTTAAACAAAATATATATATTTATATATATGAAATTCTATCATATTTAAAATTTGTATGGATAATTAATTGATGGTTATAAAAGAAAAATATTAAACTCAACTTGAAGATAAACTTTAAAAAGATTAAGTTGAAATATATGAAAATTCTATAACAATCTAACAAAAGATAAATGTAGATCGTTAAAAAAATTATCTTTTTTTTTGGGATATTTATATCCCAATCTTAATATTTTTTTATTTAAATATTTTGTTATCTTTTATTTGAATTTTCATTTTGCAGTTCAAATCTAAATAGTTATATTTTTATTTTTGTATATTTCTTTATCTCTATTTTTTTTTTGTTATTCATATATAAATAATTACCTTTTTATTTTAAAAATTATTTGACTCGTAATATTTTTTTATTTAAATATTTTTTAATTGTTCATATATAAATGGTTAAATTTTTATTTTTAAAATTAATTAACTCGTAATATTTTTTATTTAGTTATTTTTTTATCTTTTATTTGACTCTTTATATTATTGTGTGGTTGAAATTTGAATAGTTATCTTTTTATTTTATATTTTTATCTCTACCTATTCGTTGTTCATATTTAAATATTTATCATTTTATTTAAATGTATATAATCTTTTTAGCTTTTGAGATTTAGATAATTGACAAATGATTAAAAATTAGGAAAAGTGGGAGGGGAGACTTGAGAAGTGACACATAGGAGAGAGAATCCATAAGAATTTAGTATTAAGACTTTGGAAAATTCTCATACTCCGCTACATTTAGTATAGATTCAAAATAAAAAAGGATAATATGTGATTGAAGGAGAAAAAAATATAAGTAAATCAAAATAAAGATTTAGATAGATATGTTTTTGATAGATACAGATTAACAAATCATATATTTATTTTAATTTTATTATTTTAATATTTTGTAAATCAATTATTTAATCTTTATCTTTATCTATAGACCACAAAATTAATTTTTATGAATTATTTATCAATTTTTATATGTTTATTTATCTATAAGTCACAAAATTATTTTTTTTAAATAATTGGTTTAATTTTTTTCTTTATCTCTAGGTCATGAAATAATTTTTCATAAATTATTTATGAAATTTTATATGTTTATCTTTCATTTTTTTAAATCAATTTTTTAACATTTATCTGTAGGTCATAAAATTAATTTTTATAAGTTATTTATCAATTTTTATAAGTTCATTTTCGGAAAGAAATTTTAAATTATCTATAAGTTGTGAAATTAATTTTTTTAAATTAGGTATTTAATTTTTATCTTTATCTGTAGACCATGAAATTAATTTTCATAAATTATTTATCAGTTTTTATATGTTTATCTATATGAAGGAATTTTGAAATTCAAATCTTTATCCATAAACCATGAAATTAATTTTCATTTTAATTAATCAAACAAATAGAAAATATAGGAAAATAAAAAAATATGAAAGACAATCAAAGAGGGTTGCCACGTAAGAAAAAGAAAGTTTTAAAATTATGAGAATTTAATAATGAATATTTGGAGACTTTTTCCAATACAGCTACTACAAAATGAAGGACAAAA